TACACAGGTAAGTTGGGGAACTAGGGATCGAGCCCTGGGATCTACCTCAGCTACCACGAATTGGTGAATACCGTTTCAATCAGGCTGCAGATCAAATCAAGAAAGCTCAAGATGCCATGATTGCATCTGAGAATAGACACAGACGGCCGTCTGAGTTTCAGGTAGGTGAACGAGTCTGGGTAAAGTCATCTGAGTCGGGGCAGGAATTAGGAATCTCACATAAACTGATGCTACAATACTTTGGCCCCTGGGAAGTTCTTGATATAGTGGCAGATCAACCAGATGGGCCATCATACGTCATTCACATCCCTGGGCACCTACGTACACAGCCTGTCTTCCATGCATCAAAGTTGGCAAGTTTCTCTGTTGCTGATCAATTTCCCTTCAGGAGATTGATGCTGACCCCAACCATGGATAGACATGTGGACATTGACGACATCGTTGAACACCAGTTGATGCCTGTGCCCAAGCCTCCAGTCACAGGACGTCCCCCGAAGCCACAGATGCAATACCAGGTGCGGTTCAGACACCACACTGATCCTCAAGAAGATCGGTGGTTCACAAGAGAAGAATCAATGAAGACTGCTCCCCAAATTATCTCAAGTTATGAAAGAAATTGAAAAGGAAGCTGTCTGCTACATAACGACTTCGCAGAGGACTATCGAAATAAAGGAGGAGGGAGTGCGACGGTTTGACCCCTCGGCATATGGCCCTGCAACAGGCGCGTGCCCGCCCTAAGTGAAGGCGCCCCCCCTGAATCTGAATGCTCCCTGAACTCGTCAATTTTCACAAATCTTGGTCGGCGCCAGACAGTTGCCACGCGCCAGTTGGTTACATCCGCCCTGCATGTGAGAATGGGAAAGATTTGTGAGCCTTCCAGGCCATTCTAGCAACGTCGGGTAAGCAGGGAACATTATACGAATGTGCCTGGGTGGTTGGACGTGCCTAACCAAATAGGTCCCAGGCCACTGTCCGAACCGGCCTGGCGCAGACACCTTGGCCAAGACGGAAGCTACTGGGCACTCGGTGTCACGTGGTCGTGGCAAGGCAAAGCGCCTGCCACTTTCCATATAGGAAAGGGCCGGGCGCCAGGGCAGACAGTCGGGCACTTGCAAGTTGCAGGCGCAGCGCTGCTGGAGTATCTGCTCGCTGGAGACTAGCTGCGCTAGTGCAAGCGCGCGGGCGTACGAGGGCATCGAGAGGTACAGGGCGCTGCTGAGAGCAGCGGCATAGCCCAGCCTTCCACAGCCGGCCTTCGGGCTTGGACTGTCAGCGGGTGGTGGTGGTCTTCGTGTATGAGGAAGAAGGCGTGGGTAGAGAAGACAAGGGAGAGAGGGAGAGAGAGAGAGAGAGAGAGAGAGAGAGAGAGAGAGAGAGAGAGAGAGAGAGAGAGAGAGAGAGAGCACGTACCTGGTCTTGGCGATAGTCTACAAGGGTCAACGTCTTCATGTGCTTCGGTTCTGCTGCTGACGTCAACAGTTGCATTGTCAATTCGTAGGCAGGTAGTAGCTGCGTGATAGTAGTCTGGGCGCCGAGCGCGAAGTAAGAGAAGGGCTCTGGATACTTATGTTGGTGATGGCGAGAGTATGCTCTCATTGACACTTGGATTCAGTGTTTTGGTTCTCCATTGGTGTAATATCGGTGCAATTCTGCTTTCAGGACAGTGTGAGACTTTCGGGCTTTCAATGTGATATTGCAATCTGGAATCTGTCGTTTTGCTATTGCTCATTTTCCTTGCATTCTTCTTTTCTTTTCTTCTTCTTCTTCTTCTTCTTCTTCTTCTTCTTCTTCTTCTTCTTCTTCGTTTTTTTTTTTTTTTAAGGGTGACAGCCTTGAGGTATCATCATCAAACTGACCAGCCCTAGGTAATTCACAATTGTAGCATTTTACTCGTCAACTTCCTGTGAGTTCGAGCCTAGGTCTGTCTTTCAACAGTTCAGGTGTGTACCGACTGAGCCTCTCGTGTTTCTTTTTACTGAAGAGAAACATGTCCAGATGACAATTCGAGGAAGGAGATAGAGAGAGCGCGAGGGGAAGGAGGAAGCGAGGGAAGGAAGGAAGGGGGATGAGAGGGAGAAAGGGAGAGAGGAAGGGAGGAAGGGAGGAAGGGAGGAAAGGAGGAAGGGAGGAAGGGAGGAAGGGAGGAAGGGAGGGAGGGCAATTTGTGAAACACAGAACCAGATAGGGAGAAAAGAAGAACCAGGGGGAAGGTGATATAAACTTATAAAGTGATTTAAATTTTAAAATGATTTTCTGTGTAAATGAACTGCTGATGCAAAAGAGAGGGGCTAAGTAAGGATGTGATAGGGTATGTAATGAAGTTGGCGCCGGATTCAGGAGGAACTCACTTTTTAAAACCCACACTAAGAAGGTATGCCTGAGATGGTCTCATTTTCTTCTCCACGCTCAGGCTAAGGACTCCTGGGTATCTCGTCACAACCCTGGGCCTCAGCAACACGAAACACAAGGAAGAAATCAGCACAGGGGTCATTTTCTTCTTTACGCTTAAGAAAATGTCAACACAAAGCACAAGGAATCAACACAACCCAGGCCATCACAACTTGCACTAAGCCAAATAAACGAGGATGTAATCCGATCCGTACATCTTTGCATAAATTTGAAATTTGGAGGCCGAGATGGTCGAATCACTACACCACACATGCAATCAGACTCGCTTTCTCTTCCCCTTCGCATACATGCAAACGGATGGTGATTCACTCTGACGCATCGCGCCCACTCAAAGCTCAGAGATATGGAAAACGAGAACACAGTTTAGATGCAAAATCGCTTCAACAAACTATGGCGCATCAGCGCCTGCACACCAACTCTTGTCACTGTGTCCGATACCACCGTTCACACATGCTCAACTCCGGATCACCCTGAATACCATCACACACACACATTCTAAGCCTATATTCCTCCTACGGCGGCTATGGCCACTCTAGCACTACAGACTATGGCTACGATCTCTCCCTTCAGCCCACTTCGTCTTCGGGCAACCTGCAGACCACCTTTGCACAAGACGCTGTAGCAGCGCTTCCGCATGGCTTACGCAGCGAATCAATGAATTGCTGGGCGCTGCTCTTGATTCATACTTCTGTTTGCCACTGGTCTGCCCCTTTCCACCAGGCCCTGGGTGTGCACAGTCCCACACAGTACTTGCTTGACAGGACTCGGTACAACTGGGACCGGTAACCCTGACTGCATGAGGTTGCACTGCCGACTCAATGCAGTTGGACCTGCGACTCACCTACAGACCTCTAGCCTACCAGATTCGACCTCTACACAGCTATGACCCCTACTTGACAGACCTACAGATCGAACCCCTACATCTACACAGACTTTCGACAGACAAGCAACCAACTACCGAAACACAGGTCACGGGTTCAAACACTTGGGGGTCAACTCGATACTGTACATGGGTAAGGTGAGGTCTGGGGATCGAACTCTAGGGCCCGCATCTGTGACTGCAAAAAGGTGAAAACCATTTCACACATGTTAGGACAGCAATTCTTAACAATTTTCAGCAAAGCCGACATGATGTTTGCTAGATGACAAAGAATTCAGCTTACATCTCTTTCCCAGGGAGATGCCTCTGCCGTACCCAGAACCCTTCCGGCGATCTTGAATACTTGAGCTCTAATTCCTCCAAGCCTCACCTTTGCTGTGTACATTTTGGCTACAGAGTGACTGTAAATACTACTCAGCAAATACCAGATGAGACAGCATCTGCTCTGTGCCTGTCAGAGAGAGCTTCTCCTCCAATCCTCTTCAAATCAAATAGCATTATTAATCCTGAACTTAGACTCACTTTTGAGGAAAGTGCATTCATCCAGAAGATGGTTGTGGCCCATTCCTTTTGAGGAGACCATGATGACCCTCCACTCCCCCCACTCCCCCTTACAAGCATTTCACAGTTGAAGTGAAAACAGATCTGTGATACAACCTAGAGATTCAAATTAGGACCAAGAGGGGGGTATCATGTAAGCCCAAAGGCGTTGAATCTATTCTCCAATTCAACACCAATAGTTCAGTCGAAAGTCAGAAGCACCTCTGGTGATTGCTGACCAAGATGTGGGTCAGGCTGGAAGGGGGAAGGGGGAAGGGAGAAGGAAGGGAAGGACCTATGCCCATAGCTGAGGCGGTAGGACGTATGGATGTGTGTGTGTGTGTGTGTGGAGAGAGAGAGAGAGAGAGAGAGAGAGAGAGAGAGAGAGAGAGAGAGAGAGAGAGAGATGTGTAACCTGTTTCTACATAGGCATTCATCTCTACTTCTCCACCTATGCTGCGCTCAGCTATCTGGATCAGGCCACTGGGAGGTAGATTCTGCATGTCACCCATTTAAGTCTCAGTATCGTGCTCAAGCCTGGCATTGTACTTGAGCTTGGAGTGAAAGCCCACTTGCCAGCCGGCCAGTCAGTGTCTGAGATGAGGAATGAACAACAATGATGAACATACGCCACTTTTATAGAGGAACGGCAGAAAGAGAAACACCGGGCATTCCACTTCGGTTCCCTCCCAATTAAACTTCAACCCATCGACTAGACTGCTACTCATTTTTCGCTAAATGGGAGGAAGCCACACTGGGGACATTTGGGTATACGTGGAAAAGCAAAAAGAGAACATACTTTCAGTCTTCTATAAGCTGCCCTCAAGCTATTCTTTGGACAATGTTCACGTACCGTTCCAACTGGTTGGGCGGAATTCCAATTTCGGCCAGGAGGAAGGAAACATTTCTCTGCAGCTTCTGCAAAGAGAATGCGAGCACCATCGGCCGTGTCTTGAGGATCTGTGGACAACACATGTCGTAAATCATAGATGGATTTGTGGGCAAACAGAGATCAATTCTCAACTACGAAAGCCGGAGGGAAATAAAGCAGCAGCAGGAGGAAGACGAGGAAGGGAGGAGGGAGGGAGGGAGGGAGGAACAGAGGGAGGAACAGAGGGAGGAACAGAGGGAGGAACAGAGGGAGGAACAGAGGGAGGAACAGAGGGAGCAAAGGAGGAGGCAGAGAGAATGAGGGAGAAGAGAAGAGAAGAGACCAAATCAGGACAGATTGCAGGAAACACGGGAGGAGGCTTAGGGCTGGCAAGGAAAGAGAGTTAGAGATGATGAGGGAGGAGCCAGAGAAGGGAGGGAGGACATGTTTTTCAAATGGTGAGGGAGTAGGTTCAGACACGGAGAGGAAGGAGGTTCACCAGTGGCTTCATCTGACAAGGGGCCTCCACAATCCGCAGCGTGACACGGCAGTAGATGCATGAGTGAACGGATGGGATGCTCTGGTGCGAGGAGAGAGAGAGAGAGAGAGAGAGAGAGAGAGAGAGAGAGAGAGAGAGAGAGAGAGAGAGAGAGAGAGAGAGAGAGAGAGAGAGAGAGAGGCTGTTTTTCCGGGTGCCCGGGCACCCAATCTCCCGGGTACACGCCCGGGTGCCCGGCCGGGCATGACCACCGGGCAGGGTTTCGGGCAGCCCCAGCACAAAAGAAAAATAAAATAAATAAAATTCCGAAAAAACAATATGTTGTGTAGAATTGAAATACAAACGACTTTTGGCTGAGGGTCACATTATAATTACTCACATAATCGGAGATAAAAAAAAAAAAACAGAATCACACAAAGGCACCTCCCTTTAGTCCCCTTTAGCCCCTTTAAAACCAATTATACCCCCCTTGACAGCCAACTCGCAAAAAARAAATGAGCCCGGATTTGGGGTCCTCTGGAAGAGCGCAGAAAACCAAAAAAAAAAAAAAAAAAAATYTTTTTTTTTTTTTTTTTTTTTTTTTTTTTTTGTTGCACGCCCGGGTAGCCGGCCGGGCGTGAGAATCTTCCTAGCCCTTGATAGCAAAACGCAACCTACACAGGTTGAGTGTCGACATCGAGACGATCTGAAGTAACTTCACTAAACCACCACTACTTTCAAAGGCCTCTGTTGAGGTTCTGTAGCAACGACAAAATCTGGGAACAGCTTCGGAAGAGGTGCAGTGAAGGTCCAGACAAAAGGGAAATTGACGTTGGGGGGGAAGAGGGGGGAGGCATGTGTGCCAAGCTGTCCGTTCATTTCCCACCATGTCAAACATGGCTGCATTGAACAAACCCACCTGGGGATTCAGCAAGAGCTGTGGAGTGGGAACCCACTATACAGGTGACATGGGTCCATTGTGAACCTTTTTTTTTTTTTCCCATCGTGAACCCTCTACACAGGTTAGCCCACTTTAGACCGGTTCCCAGTCAATCCGCTATGGTGAACCCAGTATAGTGAACCCACAATGCTGGGCCCACTATAGTGAACCCACAATGGTGCACCTACTATAGCGAGCCCACAATAGTGAACCCACAACAGTGAACCAACAATAGTGACCCACAGTAGTAAACCCACTAAGCAAATTGGTTCAATGCAACTGCCTAGTTCGACATCCACTGGTTATTTGTCTCCTGTTCTGATACCACTACAACTACATAGCACGCCGTTCGAATACCACTGCCACTACACAGCAGGCTGTCAGAATAGCGATGCACAGCAGGCTGTTCGGATAGCACCACAGAGCACGCTGTTCAGATAGCACGGCACAGCAGGGTGTTCGAATAGCACTCCACGGCAGGCTGTTCAAATAGCACCACATCGCAGGCAGCTGCTTGGGGTAGTACATAAAACGACATCCGCCAAGACTGGGGGCCCCATTCCAACTGCTTGGAGTACTGTATATGAAATGACATCCTCTGCTTGTGAAGGCCCCAGAAAACGAAAAAGATAAGCATCCACTGGCAGCGATCGCCTTCTCACATGCTGCAACAGCCGGTTCTGTACCTGGCCTGCCAAGAGTTTGTTAGGCTCGGCAGATAGGTCTGGAGGTAGCAATGGGTTATCAAACACATCAAACCTCGCCATCTTTGCTCCATGACCTTGCTACGACTTAGAAAATTGTGCAGCATGCAGTGCAGGCCCGACCTGTGGATTCTAGACAGGGTACAACACGGCACTCGAAACACACATAAAAACATTTAAAAGAAGTGGCTCTGAGCGCAAATTTGTTCTTTACTGCACTCGCTAAGACGTAGAGAACTGAGCAGCATTCAGTGCATCATGGCCCTGCACGTTCTGAGCCACACAATGCAGCTTTCGACAACACACACACACACTGTTACATCTTCGATGCCACACGGGTCCTACCGGACCCGACTTAGGGCCGGAGGGACACACCAGGGCCTAAAGGCCCGACCTTGAGGGTCACAGGCCCTAAAGGCCTGATTTTGCACTCAGCCCAGTGGGTAGGCCCAAACGACAGTTTGTTTGGGCCTGGCGGCTCTCTTGAGGCTGCCACCCGCCGAAGGAGGCTGAACCGTCCATCTGGACGGTCCAGGGTCTGGCTTGGCCTCGCAGCATTGAGGCCAGACCAT